CACCAAGGCAGCACTTATAGCCCAATTTTCCCACCTTGGCTCATGCACGAGGTTGCCTGGTTGCCGCCGTGCCTGCGTTTTCTCCCCTGCGTCGGTCACGCTGTCTCCGCACAACGGTCTCGGGTCTCCCCTCAGCTTCTGTGCACAGGTGAGATGCCCAGACACAGCGGGCCGCCCAAAGCCGGGTGGGATGTGTCTGCCCACTCTGCTTGGGCCCCCACCTCGCACAGGCAAGAGGATCCCGGACGAGCCCCCAAATTGTGAGAAACACACTCACTGGTCCAAACTCAATAAGTGGACACGGAGACAAAGAGAACAGCAGAGCAGGGCTTTAATGATGGCCTTGCAAGATCGGGTGTCTGGTGGGCAGGGACACCTGGGGAGTTTGGTGCTAATAATTTATCTCTTGGTGCGGGAGTCCCTCCCCTGGTTCCCCATTGGCTGAGTACTACAGGGTTCACAGTCTTCCCCGGATGTCGCCTAAGCTCGTTATATCTTTCCTTTACATTTGTCTTATTCTTATTGGTAGGTTAAAAAAACTCAAACAGGTATAGCCAGGCCCTTATCAATTCCTCCACCCCCACTCTCAGCTCAAGCAGCTTCCACCACATGGCCCTTTGTTAATACTTTACTGTTAAAATGTTTAAACATCTTCGTGGGAATAAATCACATTTAGGTTTTATATTCTTTCCTAACAATGGCGAACTCAAATAAGTAGTTAAACTTGGGCTTGGATAGCATCTTTACAAAGAAAAATCAATCTGTGGAGAGTTGAAAGGTCTCAGGGAAAGGATTTTGAGTTTCTAGGGGTGGTAAATTGAGGGAAGGTAAATATGGGGAAAATTAATGAAGAAAAGAACAGGTTATGAGGTTTGTTTACAGATTCCTCTGCAGATTCTCAGGGCTGATCAGGGTCTGGAGCTGTGGGGTGACTGACTTCTGTCCCTCCTGGTAGGGGGTGGAGAGGGATGCCTTTATAAATGTATGTCTTGCTTTTAGGTAGAGAGCCTTCCTTGCATCTGCTTCTTCGCAGCTGCCTTCAGTTCAAAATAATGCATCTGCCAAAGTGGCCTGTTTGGGACAGCAAGTTCTGCCACCCTTCACCATGTGTATCTCTCCTTTCTGTGTCTTCATGAAATTGATCTTGAGTTGCCAGGTGTATGTGTTTCCTTGTTGCTCCTTCCCCCCCTCCAGAATAGAAACCCATGAAGGGAGAAATCAGCATTCGGGTCTCCTATTTCTTATGGTTTCATGCGTAAAGTAAGTGTGTGTGTGTGTGTGTGTGTGTGTGGCAGAGAAGACAGAGCTGGGTAGGGACAGAGATGGTGCTGCATGAGTTCATAGGGTCCAGTTTTGAAAGCCTACATGCTAACATAACATGAGAAAGGGTTTGGATCTAATGATGAGAGTTTTGTTAGGGTCCGGGCTTCCGAGGCTTCTCCAGGGAACAAACTACACAGGCATAGAGATGTAAATTCAAGCAAAGTCTTTATTCAGCCAGCTAGCTGGGGTCCAAGTGTCAGCCCGACGCAGCGGGTCTCAACAAGGACCCCGAGCACTCAGAGCCAAGGGTTTATATAGCATTTTCAAAGCACATAACTCATAGTAATTTTCCACAACTATACATTATTCTTGCAAGACATACATCCTGGGGTTAAGCAAGGGCAGGATAAGACTACTCCTCAATGGTTAGGGAGGTTCTGCACGATAAGCTTGGTATGTAAGGTTAACTGACCAAGGTTAGCTGACCAAGGGTCACAGCTGCCCACCACCCGGTGCTCATGATTAACTTGTTTTTCAAGGCCTTACCCAGGCCCAGGTTTTTTTTTTTCTTCTTCCTGAGTCACACCCTCAGAAAATGGTTTCTAGGTTTCTAAGATGGCTATGCTTATGCTAATTTACTAATCTTACTAATGCTTAGATTCTACATTTCCCCACTTTCTTTTGACCATTCCAATCATGGAATGTTTGTTTCTTCCTGCTGTGTGAGTGAATGATACTGGGGTCTCAGCATTAGCACCTGAACAGCACTCACTCTTTCCCTAACAAAGGCTATTAGCCGGTTAAAGATACAGGGACCTAAAGTGAGAAGCAGTATGAAAATAAGCAAGGGCCCTGCCAGGGTGGATATCAGGGTTGTAAACCATGGGGATTTAGTAAACCAGGATTCAAATAGCCCTTGGCTGGCCTCTCTCTCTCTCTTCCTTTGATCTAGCCTCTCTCTAAGTTTAGACATTGAATCTCTTACTATTCCGGAATGGTCTGCTGTTAGGGTTTAGCTAAGTTTTATTAGTTCTTTTTCCTGACTCTTGATGCTCTCTGCGCTCCTTTACAGTTTGATACTGAGTAGGGGAAGAGGGAAGAAGGTGAGCGCATGAGAAAGTGAGGGTCATCATCTGGGGCTGGCTGCAGCTTCCTTCAGAGGGCTGTGCAGGCGCCAAATAGTCCATTTCATATGAGCTGAGCTCTGAGGTCATGGTTTGGCTTCCCGAAATGGAGTTGTGCTGCACAGAATATAGTAGCTGGGGTCCAAGTGTCAGTTAAGAAGCAATCTCTGTTATTAAAAAGTGGGCAAAATTGCTACCTGAGACTCAAACCCGGATTAAATGGAATTATACAAAGCTAAATAATTATTGCTAAATGAGCAAATTGAAACGGTACTGTGCCAAATGCACTGTGCTAAACAGTGAGGCGGGACATCAGAACCATTATGTTTAAAATTAGACTTTGGAGTTAAAGTGACTAATTGCAGTCACCTAAATGTTGCGGTCATTAGTAATTATGTTACATTTCCATTTAAGACAGAAATAGAGATGATCAGCTTGGTCAAAATGAGAATTCACACGCATACGTTGTCACGTGGCCATTAAAAACAAATGTATGTCAATGACGAGGGGGAACATTTTTCTGAAAAGCAGCTTGATTTGCAAACCTTTTGGGGATTTTAAAGTCTAATGGGGGGATCCTTAGGACTTTCTTGAATTCATGAGCTCTGAGAAATGTCTGGAATTTCTGACACTTGAGAAGTTTAAGGGCATGAGATTGAGCGTCTGTGCCCTGTGACCCTGTGTGCCTCTCTGGGGGAGGGCGCGTTTCATGGAATGTGCTCATTATTTGCAGCATCTTCTGCCCGGCCTGGGCTCCATGTTCACTTGTGTTTCCACCACCCTCTTTCAGATGGGGCCCCGAAACAGCAGGGCCTACTGCCAGAGCTTCCTGGCCCATCTAGATGAGATGTGGGTGGCATCTAACCTGTATAACAGGTTAGAAACTTGACGGTTAACTTTTTTGAAAACTGTCCTCCAAGACTGATTTCTTTCTCTTACCTTCCATGCCGGTGGATAGCGGAAACGCCATACTTATCACAGATATTTAGGGACTGACTTATGGAGTCTTCCCACACGTAACATCCTCGGGGCCTGCTGGAACCGTCTGAGGTTGAGCTGCTCTGCTCAGCTAAGTGTGTCACTTAATAAAACAAGCACGGTGCAGAGATGCATCGGACTTTTAAAATTAAACAGGTAAACTACAGATACTGGGGTTTACATAGTTCCTTAAGGAGACAGTTTACCTTCTTATGTAAGGAATTTACTTTTTGAGAGTATTTTGTATAATTTCTATAGAACATATACATAGTTAGAATATTATTATAAAATAAACGATTGGGCATAAACATAAAAAACATTTATTTCTTTTAAATAAACTTTGAGTCACAGTGATTCATCGTCTACAGTTTTAGAGGTGTCTGAACTTTTGGAGTGGCATTTCTTTCCCTGTTCCCTGCAATGAATGGCAAATGCAAAGCTTCTTAATAGTCTCACACCTGCTTTGACGAGGACATAGGGCTCTTCAGGGTTGGAATGGTGATGGTGATTCTAAAGGACAGGGAATAATTTCAAGCAGAACCCAGCTGAGAAAGCTGGGGGATGTGCCTGAGCACTGCTGTCTTCCTGATCACCCAGCGGGTCCCCCAGTCCCTGGTTGTGTATTCTCCCTGTGTTCCCTCCCTATCAACCCTTCCCGGGGAGGGAGCTGAGAGGTCACCCGGCTCCTTTCTGGGCTCCTGACTTGGCAGCCATCTTCTGCAAATCTCGGTCATTTCTCAATGAGGCCACCTCCCAAAGTCTGTGTTGCTTTGGAGCTGCCCCGTCCCCGAAGCCACGTCCCCCTACCCAACCTGGAGCTGAGAGGTCACCCGGCTCCTTTCTGGGCTCCTGACTTGGCAGCCATCTTCTGCAAATCTCGGTCATTTCTCAATGAGGCCACCTCCCAAAGTCTGTGTTGCTTTGGAGCTGCCCCGTCCCCGAAGCCACGTCCCCCTACCCAACCCCGCCAGCCCAGCCCCCATCCGCTCTCACCTTCGCGCCTGTCCCCATGCCCGTGCAGACCCCTCTGCAGCTGGGCCTCCTCAGGTCCCAGCACCTGGGACACCCCTGGTCCCCTTCCCCAGGAGGGCGCCCTCCACAGAACTCATTTCTGGCTCATGTGTATACCCCTGGAGCTCCCCTCCTTCAACTTCCTGTTGGTTTTGTCATGTTTTGGTATTTACTAACATCAGAAGCTGGGATAATGCTCAGACCACCAGATTTCTTTTGATTTCACCTTGACTTACTTTGGAAGGGCCTTGATCAGTAACTGTGCTGGATCAGGTTGGGCCTTGTGCCATGGTCCTGGATGTGGACATTTCAGAGGCTGATGTTTTCAGTGGGAACCTTAACCAAGCATACAATAAAAGAGAATGGCATTGGTACAGATAACACCTTTAGGACACAACACCACACAGGAAGAATTGGGATGCTGCCAGTCAGGGGTTAAGGTGACCCGTTTGTGTCTGCTTCACTGTGTTTATCAGGAGCCCGGATGACTCCCGAAACCAGTCCCTTTCCTATGCTGACATACACAGGCAGCTGTTTTTCTGGGGACATGGTCGGGTGGAGTCTCTGGCTGCAATCCTGACTGAGCTGGTAAAATAAAACAATCTCTGCTCCCACCCTCTTTAGGGAAGCCATCAGCCGTGTTTGCGAAGCCGTGCCTGGAGCCAAGGGAGCCTTCAGGAAGAGAAAGGTACCGGCCATGCTGCATCGCTGTCTCCTGCACTTCCCCACTCTCGCGTCACCACACAGGAGCTTTTGTTACACAGCTGGTACCTTCTTTCCATGGCCTTCCCTCTGCCATGTGGTTGACAGGACAGTCATCTGACACTGAGCCTAGAGACGATGATGCAACAGGCCAGCATTCCCCTGAGCGCTTTTGAACATTAATTCCCTTCCTTTTAACAAGTCTTTGCAGCTGGCACCCCAGGGGCAAGCTGGTAAGTGTGGAACTACAAGCTCAGGGGTGAAGGAAAGGGCAGTGTTTGCCCATTTCTGTGGTGCAAATGCTTTCACCGAGCTGACTTTGAGCTTTACCATGACATCCCTGAACTGCAGCTGCAGCCCGTGATCATGTGTATTTCCACCACACGTGCAGTGGACACAAGTAACCTGAACGGCATAGATGGCCGTTTATGTAGCAAAACCAATAAGGAAGTGATGAATTTTGAATATTTCTTGCTTGTTTTTTTAATTGTATTTGTTTAACTCTAAGTTTACATAAGTAACTTTTCCTGTCAGCTGGTTTTAATGGATAGCTCATAAAATTCCTAAATTTTTAATAACTTTAAAGGGGTATAAGCCAGCTGTATAGCACCACTGGGTATCCCCATTTTACAGAAGATAAAAACTGAGGCAGAGAGGTGAGAAGTCACAGGGTTAGCAGGCATTGCTCAAGCCCAGGTGGCCTGGCTTCAGGGACTGCACCTTCAAGCCCGGTCCTTTACACCAGAAGGTGGTTGGATTAAGAGAAAGCTCAGAAAAACTCCTTAGTTAAGAGTCTAGTAAATACCTACCATTAGGACTTCGCTTTGCCTGGACTGACTGTGCACATCTCCGGATTTGTCCTGAGGCTGGGGTTTGGGGAGGTCAGGTGCTTGCCCCTGCCACTCCCTGGACTGCAAGTAGGTTCTGTCTTCATGATCTGGGGACATTTGTGACTTCAGACAGAGAACTTTGGATGAAGACTCAGACTGCAGCCTATGTTCTAATCAGCCCCGGGGGACACAGGGAGCCAAGCAAGATTCCAGAGTCTTAACCACAGGAACTAGGGGGAGTCTAATAACAGACGTAGGGAACCTCCTCTTTCAGAGCCAGGTGTCATCTGACTGGCAAGCTCTGGGGTGCCCTCGTGGTTCTCTGGGAGAAGGTGGTAGAAACAATGTGGGTTTCTGTCATCAGAATCTCGGGGGTGAGTCGTAGGCCTCTCTATTTTTAAATAGCTTGCAGGAGATTGAAAACAGTGTCTGCTTGGTTAAGAACTAGTGTTAATTTGCCTATAAATAGGACATGTTCTAATCTGAAAAGGAAGGATGAGTTGGCCAGCAAAGGACAGAGACAAGTGTGGGCATGACCTATCCAGGTACCTGGGGAGAAGGTGCTTGGCCAGAAAATGTGGCCTGTCCATCCCCACACCAAGGGCGTTTCTGACTGGCTGACAGCTGCAGGCTGGAGCTGGACCATTTCATCCACCCTCGTGCCCACTCAGGCCCACCTGGTTCTGACTGGACCGTCTGGTGAGCACTGACCTGGAGGATATTGCAGCAGAGGATTGGTGTCCATCCCGTTCAGCTGTGGCGTCCTCACAATTCCTGGGGATCACTTGTAAGCCTTTTAGTCTGCCTGGGGCAGTTTCACTGTTGGTGGGATCAAACTGGTTTCTGAGTCTGCAGAGCTGAAGACCTTGGCCTCAGCATTGTCCCCAAGCTTGTGAGTGACCCATGAGACGCACCACAACATGAGCTGCCCAGAACACGGTCACCTCTGACATTCTGACAGGGTCCTCATCCCACTGTGTGCATGTTAGATGCTCCACACTGCATATTGCATATTCTAGAATTTGTGCCTTAGTGTGAGATCCTGCCCTCCTGGCTCCTTTGTGGCACGATTTTTTTTCCTGTGCTTAATGAGGGCACACAGGTGGGGTTTTGGGGTGTGATAGCCTGCAACCCTGAAGCCCCAACAGTCTTCCTACAAATCAAAAGCTAAAATTATGCTGATTGGTTTCACAGCCTCCAAGCAAAATGCTGTCCAGCATCTTGGGTAAGAGCAACCTGCAGTTTGCAGGGACGAACATCTCCCTGACCATATCCACCGCCAGCTTGAACCTGCGGACGCCCGACTCAAAACAGGTCTGTAGCGCTCAGGCCCCTCATCCCCCACCCCTCCTCAAGATGGGGTTTTGCAGGGCTTCCAGCCTTACGCAGCCTGTGTGGAGCACATTTGTGTAAAACCTTTGCTTGTCTGCAAACCCAGATTGGCCACTTGGGAGGGTCACTAACAGAGTGATAGATGCAGTTGGTGTCCTTTGATTCTTCATCAATTGGCTTATGTTTTTGAGAGGGGGGTGCATGGTTGCTGATGTGTGTGCAACATAGAGAGGTGTGTGTGTGGTCTCCTCTCCCTATCCTTTAGCCCGTTTTGTTGTCTTTATGCCATATTTCATTGGTGCTACAGCCATCTCACATCACATTTTATCATCTTTGAAATGGGTGATGTGTCACAGTTGAAGTGAGCGTTTTTCTGGCTCAGAGGTCCATTGTTTTGGAGCCTCTCTCAGTCCACAGTATGCAGGGCAGATGGGTGGGGCGCCCCTGCAGCTCCCCAGGGTGGAAGAGTTTGTTGCTAACCCAGAGGGTGCAGCTGCAGCCTTTATGGAGGTGAATCCTGGCGAGGATGGTTGGTTCTTCTGGAGTGTCTTAACTTCTCTGATCGTTAGTTCCTTCTGCTGGAAAAATGGGCATAGGAGTAGCCGTCCTGGGTGCCAGCAGGCAGATGTGCCCATGAACTGTACCAGGACCATGGAGCCTAATCTTCATAACCTCTGCTTAACCCGGGCCCACCTGCCAGCACTGTGGACTGGAAAGTAGGTGGACTCACACGGTGAGTGCCACACCTCCCAACTCAGGCAGAGTGCTCCCAGCAATGCTGGGCTTACCTTTATGTGGCCATCTGTATTTATATTTACTGATTTCTGTGTGCCAGGTAAGCAAGCAGAGTTCTCAGCCTCATTTATACCTCTTCTCTACCCCCGAGATGTTGAAATAGATTCTAAATCCAGTAGGAGGGAGCTTCAGCATCCGGGCTTTGTTGAGACATACCAGATGCCACTTGTCACGGCATTTCTGTTTCCTCACCTGACCAATAGGTAACCGTACATCTTTTCATGTGGGCCCTCCTAACCGCTGGTTAATCGGTCACTCAGGTGGTGGATTTGGTTTCTGAGTCTGCAGAGCTGAAGACCTTGGCCTCAGCATTGTCCCCAAGCTTGTGAGTGACCCATGAGACGCACCACAACATGAGCTGCCCAGAACACGGTCACCTCTGACATTCTGACAGGGTCCTCATCCCACTGTGTGCATGTTAGATGCTCCACACTGCATATTGCATATTCTAGAATTTGTGCCTTAGTGTGAGATCCTGCCCTCCTGGCTCCTTTGTGGCACGATTTTTTTTCCTGTGCTTAATGAGGGCACACAGGTGGGGTTTTGGGGTGTGATAGCCTGCAACCCTGAAGCCCCAACAGTCTTCCTACAAATCAAAAGCTAAAATTATGCTGATTGGTTTCACAGCCTCCAAGCAAAATGCTGTCCAGCATCTTGGGTAAGAGCAACCTGCAGTTTGCAGGGACGAACATCTCCCTGACCATATCCACCGCCAGCTTGAACCTGCGGACGCCCGACTCAAAACAGGTCTGTAGCGCTCAGGCCCCTCATCCCCCACCCCTCCTCAAGATGGGGTTTTGCAGGGCTTCCAGCCTTACGCAGCCTGTGTGGAGCACATTTGTGTAAAACCTTTGCTTGTCTGCAAACCCAGATTGGCCACTTGGGAGGGTCACTAACAGAGTGATAGATGCAGTTGGTGTCCTTTGATTCTTCATCAATTGGCTTATGTTTTTGAGAGGGGGGTGCATGGTTGCTGATGTGTGTGCAACATAGAGAGGTGTGTGTGTGGTCTCCTCTCCCTATCCTTTAGCCCGTTTTGTTGTCTTTATGCCATATTTCATTGGTGCTACAGCCATCTCACATCACATTTTATCATCTTTGAAATGGGTGATGTGTCACAGTTGAAGTGAGCGTTTTTCTGGCTCAGAGGTCCATTGTTTTGGAGCCTCTCTCAGTCCACAGTATGCAGGGCAGATGGGTGGGGCGCCCCTGCAGCTCCCCAGGGTGGAAGAGTTTGTTGCTAACCCAGAGGGTGCAGCTGCAGCCTTTATGGAGGTGAATCCTGGCGAGGATGGTTGGTTCTTCTGGAGTGTCTTAACTTCTCTGATCGTTAGTTCCTTCTGCTGGAAAAATGGGCATAGGAGTAGCCGTCCTGGGTGCCAGCAGGCAGATGTGCCCATGAACTGTACCAGGACCATGGAGCCTAATCTTCATAACCTCTGCTTAACCCGGGCCCACCTGCCAGCACTGTGGACTGGAAAGTAGGTGGACTCACACGGTGAGTGCCACACCTCCCAACTCAGGCAGAGTGCTCCCAGCAATGCTGGGCTTACCTTTATGTGGCCATCTGTATTTATATTTACTGATTTCTGTGTGCCAGGTAAGCAAGCAGAGTTCTCAGCCTCATTTATACCTCTTCTCTACCCCCGAGATGTTGAAATAGATTCTAAATCTAGTAGGAGGGAGCTTCAGCATCCGGGCTTTGTTGAGACATACCAGATGCCACTTGTCACGGCATTTCTGTTTCCTCACCTGACCAATAGGTAACCGTACATCTTTTCATGTGGGCCCTCCTAACCGCTGGTTAATCGGTCACTCAGGTGGTGGATGAAGCAGGTTTAGTCTCTGAGCTGTTGAGCACAGTGGTGCCAGGTTGCAGAGGCCCCCTCGGCAGGTGGCTACCAGAGTCCAGTGCTCTTGGCTCTGTGTTCTACACCCATGTCCACTTTTATTCATCCTGCTGGCTACACCTTTTATTTCTAGGAATCCTCAGACCATGGCCCTGAATTCTGTGGGATAGATGTCCTAATTCCCCCTCCTACCTCATTCCCCACCTCAAACAAAAGGAAAACAAACTCAGAACAGAATGGATGAGGCCACCCCAGTTGGCCTCTCCAGCTGGGGTTGGGGCTAGCGGGCGTGTCTGGTTCTCCTGGGCTCTGGAGGACCGTGTGAGTGCTGGCCTGCGGGCCCCGAGGGATGCTGTCTCTGATGACATGCACGGTCTGAGGAAGGCCAGGATTGAGGTTCCTGCCTGCTGGCTCTCCTGTCCCCCTGAATTTAGGGCCTGGCTGGTGCAAATTAAGAGCAAGCCTGACTGGACCCCGCCTCTGCAAGAGAGGAGGCGGTGCCTGCTTTCTCCAGGGCTCTCACAGAGTAGAGTGCTCATTTTCTGGCTCCTTGATTTCTGTCTTACCTGAAGGGCTTAAATGCAATCACACCGTAATGGTCATGAATTGTGTTGCCCAAATACAATTTGCATTTTTCCCCACTGCTCACTTTAATTTCCAAACCCCAGTTTTAGAGCTGCCTTACAAGCAAAAATTAAATAAGCAAAACTCAGCAACTTTAGTTTTTCATTGTTTGAGGATTGCTATGTCCACACTGCTCTCCTGGGAGCCCTCCCCTCTGGACTACGGCAGGCGGGACTCTGGAGAGCTGTGAGCGGCCACCAACAGCTGGGCGCGGGTGGGTTCCAGAGCCACCTCAGGGTTTTTATTCATTTGTTATTTATATTATTTATGCTGTTTTATTCATTTATACTCAAGTCTTTCTAGGTCCTGAGTAGTTTTGCAAGTGCCAACAACTGAGGTGGGCATTTTAAAGTATCTTATTTTATCTTACAATTCAGTTAAAGTCTTCCCTTGAGTTTTACAGGAGCTTAGTTGGAAAATCCCTGGGGTGGTGCAATCACAGCTCTGTAAATTCAGACTGCTCACCAGCAAGGGGCCAAGAGGGCTGTGCACAACTAAATCTGGTTATGTTGGGATGGAGACCACAGCATTGTTCCCACTCCTGGAAATTTACTTCAGTGTCATTACATTGTCTTTTAAAAGATAAAAATAACATGGAAGACTTATGTAGCTCTTTAAATTTAGGGCAGCTTCTAATTTACTGTGCCTACTAAATTCCACTGAATGCAGCCGTTCATAATGCTAATGGAAATTCCCCATTTTAAAATTAACCTGGAATGCCCTCACTGGTTTTTAAGTTGGTAAATGACAAGAGTGCCTGAGAGGGCAGCGATTTTGATCTTGGATGCAGGCTTTCCAATTTATGTGCCCGTAGTGCACACGGGATGCAGTAGTGTCAGCCACCCTCCCTCCACTCTGGCTGTGGGGTGTATGCTGAAGACCCTATATGTCTTTGAAAATGGAAATGGCACAATTGAACTTGTGTGAGTGGGTGGTACATTTTCCTTCTCAAAGGGGCATGGAGGTGAAGACTCCAGGTTGAACTGTAGACCTTGAGCAGGCCAGGTAGCCCTCTGAGAGATGGGGTTACAGTCACCCCTCCTTCACAGGGCTGCTGTCAGACTAAATGGGGCACTTCTGGCAAAGCAGCCAGATGAACAGGGTGAGCTTGCTATCACTATGACCTTTATCATCCTTTCCACGGGCTACCAATTTTACCAATTCTCAGGAAGCCATGTTGATTTGTATCGCCTGCCAACAAACACTTGGTTTTCCAAGCCACGGAGGGTAATAATGGCACCTGTCATTCTTGTTTTGGGCAGATTATAGCGAACCATCACATGCAGTCCATCTCCTTCGCCTCTGGGGGAGACCCGGTAAGTGTCCCTGGAGCTGCTTTATCCTGCCATTGTCGGGAATTTCTGAGACAGGACCCTCCTGCAAAGGGTGCCTCTTAGGACACTACCCAGAAGGTTGACTATGATGTCTACTATTTCCCCCTCTGGTTTCAGAAGCCCTTCTTGACTTGTTTATTTTCATTTACTGTCCAAAAGCTGTCAAAATCCTTGAAAGAGCTACATGTAAGAGAATGAAACTGGATCATTGTCTAACCCCATATACAAAAGTAAATTCAAAATAGATCAAAGACCTGAATGTAAGTCATGAAAGCATAAAACTCTTAGAAAAAAACATAGGCAAAAATCTCTTGGACATAAACATGAGTGACTTCTTCATGCACGTATCTCCACAGGCAAGGGAAACAAAAGCAAAAATGAACAAGTGGGATTATATCAAGCTGAAAAGCTTCTGTACAGCAGAGGATACCACCAATAGAACAAAAAGGCATCCTACAGTATGGGAGAATATATTCATAAATGACAGATCTGATAAAGGGTTGACATCCAAAATATATAAAGAGCTCATGCACTTCAACAAACAAAAAGCAAATAATCCAATTAAAAAATGGGCAGAGGAGCTGAACAGACAGTTCTCCAAAGAAGAAATTCAGATGGCCAACAGACACATGAAAAGGTGCTCCACATCGCTAGTCATCAGAGAAATGCAAATTAAAACCACAATGAGATATCACCTCACACCAGTAAGG